CTGTTGGAGTTCCAGCGTTCTCCTGCACAACCTCCCACCACCTACCTCCCAGGACCTCAGCGGGAAGGACACATCTGTGAATCCCCTGGCCTTCCTTCAATTCCTTACAGCTGTAAAAAAAACACTGCATGGAAAGAAAAGAACATTTCCTAGACTGGGAATCCCCAGACACTTACCCAAACCGAACAAGTGAACAGAGTTTTTGCTCCGGTGAATTATACTGCATGAAGGGGAGTGGGGAGAGGAAAACAGTCCTGAGACGACGGTGGTCTGTAAAGGCCTGGGCTTTGCTGCAGTTCACATTAATCTTCCTGGCTTCTCTGAAATGTGGGCCTGCCTCGACTGGAGAGGCCCGCTTTGCTAGCAAGTTACACTCACTTGCAACTACTTCATCCAAGATTCAGGTCTGAGTTTGCTAGTGTTTCATACACCAGCCCAACGTATAGGTGGTCTTCTCTCTCCCCAGCGTGACCCACATAGCTCAACCCATCTCCTGGCTTCCTTGCGCCCCCGGGGGCTGCCAAGACTGGTCTCGTCAGCCTGCCCGAATTCAAGGTGGGGAGTGGATTCGATACTGGCTGCTGAGGACCACCAGGGAGGCTACGGGATGGGGGGCTGCTTATTCCTCCTGGATTTCCCAGTTGGCAGCCAAGACACAGATGGAGAAGGCAGCGTGAGGCTGGGGAAGGGAGGTGAAAACAAAGAAATGAGAAAAGAGACCCAAAGACAACATCTCCTCCTCAGGGAGGCCTATGTGTGAATCCAAGTATAATTGAAATGATTTCACATTCATGTTTCCACAGTATACTAACTACTTCCCTTGCTACAAGAAATGTCTCTGTGACACACCAGCGGCGGCCAATGCAGATTTGCAAAGGGGATTATCTAATTTGAGGACAAGTCAATTAGCAACTCTAGGACTTAAGACACATTATCAATGTAGCCAGTTAAAATTTTTATGTGATTCATGATTAAATTATTTTGCATCCAAACATATTCAATGAGTTAATGAAGCCAGTATGCTGATCACAAAGCCTTTAATTTTTATAGCAAATGAGGCCACGATGGGTGGAACTGATGTGCGAAGAAAAAATGAGCAAATCTTAAAAAGTTTCCCAAAAGAGAAAAAAAAGTCTTGGCTAATATGGAGTCATTTCTTATTCATTTACGAAGTTTTTCAAGTTTTTAGACAATGGACAGTTTACTATTAAAATTTTTGAACTGGGTAAAAGACCAAAATAAAATAAGAGTTCTAAGTCCTAGACATCTCAAAAGTAAACTCTAATTCAGAGAAATTAGAATTATTATTTTGATCTTATAAGAAGAGCTAGCTCATATTTATAATAGAATTTTCCCTCTGGAACTTGTCATATGATTAAGGAAACCCAAAAGAGGTAACATTTCCTGAGAGAAATACCTCCTTTATCCTCTCCCTTCTCTAAGTTACAAACACAATGGTACTTGGAAGGTGGCATTTGTATATTACGCAACTTTATTCTTTGTCCTAAAGGTAAGTACAGATACTTCTTTGAAGGATAAGGGGAAAATGAAAGGAATCAAATTCATATACAATTCATATATATGACCTTCCATGATATCAAGGCAAATCCCTTTAGTCCTATACTGAGTCATAAAAAAGATCACAGCCCTTAAAACACAGGTCATGACTATGTTTTAAGTTTCATTTTAGAAATTCCGTCAATGACAATAAAATATACAGGCAAAAATTTACATGTGTGGAATGTGATGTGATGGCTATTTTCTTCTTTATTCTTTTTAATGTTACTTAATTGTCATACAATGAACATATATTATTCTTATAAGACAAAAAGAACAATTTTTTTAAAGGCTTGCAATGCAATCTTCACTTACTGTATTTCATTCAAGGCCACGAAAGAGAAACGGTTCATTTATAAATCGTTCCGTAGATTCATCAGTGAGACTCTATCTAATCTGTTCTCCACAATGAGCAAAGGAGAAGATCTCGACAATCAGAAATGTAAATGGCCAGGGGTGGGGCGGGCCAGATTCTCCATAGAGAGGAAGGGACACAGGACAACAGCACACTGTGCCAGGGCAGCCTGTCTATCACAGACCAACGTGGCACCACCCGTTGACCTCAGTCCGTGGAGTAGCAATCCCACCAGGTAGTCACTGTCATACCTATTCTAAAGGCAAAGAATCTGAAACCCAGCAAGCTACCAGGGCCACACAGCTAGAAAGTGGCAGGGTTGAGGTTACGTCCGGCTTGGCATCGCCCGATGCATTCTCTGTCCGTTGCTTCCTAAAGGCTCCCTAAGGTTTGTTCCTTGCTGGAGATCCCCTGAGAACAGAACTCCCTTTCCACGTTGACCTTGTTTCTTTTCTCTCTCCTGCCACATCCGTGCTTGGAGGAAAGAAAGAAATCCAGGATCTACCCAATATTGGCCACCCTCACTTGAAAGTGCATGAAGGTGAACCTCTCGGCTGGGGAATGAGATTATCAGCAAAGTGCGTGACAGTCAGGATTGTCCAGCTCTGCCCTCCTGAGCTCCCCTGCCTCTTCGAGGGAGTGGCTGGCCTGGAAGGGTGCTCTGTCCCTACACCACACACAGCAGAACACAAGCTCACCTCCCACCATGCTCCATCCTCCAAACCTCACAGTGCACAAGGATCCCAAGAGCATTCTCATAAGCTCCCCAAACTCAGGCATCCAGCCCCTTACACAGTGACTCCTCCGCCACCCCCCAACTGTGCCGCTGTAGCAACTTTCAAGAGCAGAAGGTTAGCATCTGTCTGGCCACCTAACAATTTCGATTCTCTCTGTCCATGTCAAAGTCGTTTCTCACGACTTCTGCCAAGGTGCTCATCATATTCCTGCTAGCAGTCCAGGGATCATAATACAAAATAAATCACCAAAGAGCAAAGAAATCGAAATTTGCAAAAAGGGAAGAATCTCTGCAGGCCTGCTCTCCAATTTTTGCTTTCAACACGTTCCTTCGAAATGGGATGAAAACCAAAGGTGTAGGCTGCTAGGGTCCTGGGAGAAGTACAGCCTTTCCACTCTATTTCAGACAGAGAAGGGTCCAATTCAAATCCACAACTGGGGTAGGGGAGCTTCCAAAAGAAGCCTTACCCTTGTTAATCATTTAATTAATGGTAGAAGCTACAATAGCAGCCAACAGTTATAGAGCACATTGCTCGGGGGCACTGGGTTGAGCACATGCATCTATGTTCACAGTCTCATTGAATCTGAACGACAGTTCTTCAAGATAGGCTCTTTATTATCCCCACTTCCCAGATAAGCAAACTAAGGTTTAGCGAGCTTAAATAACTGTTCAAGGTTGTAAAGCTGGACTGAATTTTTAGCTCTGGGAGACCACAAGCTTCTTAATTGCTGTGCTCTATTGCTTCCCATCAGACTTTCAAGTGATGGGTATTTAGATTCCAAATGAAGCCTGGTTTGTCTGTCCAGGTGCTTAGTTCACTCCAGAGTGCATTAAGATCTTTTGATTTCAATAGACAAGGGTGAGGTCAATCTAGGGGGTGGTGCTGGGAGGAGAAAGAAGGGAACCCAGAGAATTCAAATTACAACCGGGAAGTGGCTTGAAGGAACTAAACACATGAGTTGGAGCCAAATGGTTTGGCAGATGCAGCCATGTTCAGGGATTTGTGATGACAGGGACAGTCCTTTTTCCATCCTACTTTGAGCTGACTTTATAGAACTTTATCTTTTATATCCAAAGATCAAATAAATAAAGATCACATTTAATGAGAACTAGGAGAAATAAACTGGTGGCAGTTAAAGGGTAAAAATAACTTCTCTGTGGCTTCAGACCACAGGAGCTTTCTCATTTTAAGAGGCACAGGCAAATCACTTAAACAAGGCCTTTTTGGACTGTGTTCATCTCATGTTTCCTCCCACATCCACGGTGGTTAAAGTTATATACAGTCTTAGCTCTTGAACCTCATGGAATTGTGTAGTAAATGGAAGTACAACCAGGCCAAACTCAACAACTCACAAATGCAAGCTTGTAGCACAGAAGTCAAAGCCAGTTCTCCTTTGTAACCAGTTGCTTTGTATGGAAGGAGGTTAATCAGAATTAGAAAAGGTTATGGAACCCAGGGTCTTTTTTTTTTTTTCCATATATCGTCGATACATAATATAAATATTGCACTAGACATACAAGTTTGCATACAGAAATGTATAGGCATGTTTGCCAAATTGAAAGCAATGTTTAGCTCAGGGTTGTGAAACAGGGCATTTAAAAAAATCTTTAGCACATTATAATGGTTAATTTTATGTAAAAGTAGGTGTTGCCTTTATATTCACAAAACAGGTAACTTCAATGAATATGTATTGTTCATTTAAGACAATGATTAAAGTGGTTTGCTTAATACAAATGGAATCCATGGTCTTAACGAGAGACTTTGCTTCCTCCATCCTCAAGCCCTGTTTCTACTCTCCTCTGATTCTGGACACAAAGTCTCATAGTTGGCTAAAATCCAAGGAATCCTCACTTCACCACCTTGTTTTCCATGTGCAGATGTGTTCTGGGCGAGACGATGAGAAAGACCTGATGAACTCTTCCTCAGATCTAGAATAACCAAGCTCACTCAAATACCCAAAGGCAGCCAGAGTGATTTGAGATTCCTACCTCTGCCCTATACCACTGCATTTGAGGCCAGATTTTGGGAAGCACTCCTCAATCTTAAGAGTCAAGCTAACACCTGGAAAAATCCTAGAGTGTCACTAGCTTTCCAGTGAAACTGCAGACACAAAAACAGAATCACTTATAGGAGATAGCTCTGAAATATGCCCTTCAATTTCCTAATTTGGGACATAATGTGGGACTGAGTCAAGATGAGATCAGTCTCAAGAGAAGAAAGAAGCAGGGGTGTTTACACTGCACTTTGGGGGCCCTTGTTTTGTACACCAAGGGATTTGATACCCTCTGTTCCATGGTCAAGTCTACCCTTGGTCTGTAACCCAAGCCTATTCCCCAAGGCACTGTACTTACCGGTAGAAAGTAGCATAGTCCACAGTTGAGTGGCAGGTCTGAAACTCCCAGGATTTGAGTTTCTGGCATTCCCGATGGGCTCGAAGCTTTACCTTCACTGTCCCTTGACACAGTTCAGGCACTGGTTTTCTCTGGGGTCTGTTGCAGAACTCATTGGACTCCACCCTCCAGGACTCGGCAAAGTCATCCACATCAAACTTGAAGTTTCCATCTCCACCAATTAAGTCATCACGCTTATGTCCATTGTAGTTGCCACAAAGACCACAGAGTTTGCCCTTGAGATGGGGTGCAGCCATGACTTCTACAAAACTGTCTCCATCCCATGATATTTCCAAACCTAGAGGAAAAGAGGATCAACCACTCTTGAATCCACCAATAGTTCCCAACTGTATAGACTCTTACATAGTACATATGACTATCCTCTAACAAGGAACACTGAGGATCTCACCAAATTCTTGATTACCTTTTAATTTCACCACATCAAACACTGTATGGTATAACATGAATCAATTATTGGGACTTAGAACTTTTTAAATGTATAAAGTTTGCCCTTATAATGATATCTTATGTACCCTAATTTGACTTGTAGATGACTATTCATTGACCATGTTACTCTAGGGTTTATATTTTTGCCCTTTTCTAGAGTAATTGTCTTGGTCCAAATCATGTTTTCATTTATCCAACGACTATGACAATGCAGAAATGGAAAGACAAAGAAGATGATGGTTTTTTTAATATCATTTTTCTTCATCCAATAATCCCCCCATATGATTATGCTAGGTGCCAAGTGAAAATTTCCAAATTATTTGCTATAGTGGAAGTATTAAAGTAATAAATATAAAGCTTCTGAATACATCCTCTTCAAAGGACAACACTCCTACAAATGAAAATGTTTGCCCCCTCGTTACTTTACAGTCATCTGTGAGACATGCCCAGCTGTTCAATCCATGCTTCCTAGGGTTGAGATGTTATGAGCCCTAGGTTGGGGCCTCCATGCCTGGGCTGATCATAAGCTTCAAAATTTGACTAGGCATTGGAGGCTACCAGCCCACAGGCCAAAGTTACTCATGTGCTGGACAGAATCAGCAGGACAGTACTGTCTTGTTCACCAAGGAAACAATCTTCACTCCACAAGGTAAAGAATGTAATCTCCTCTTGATCTGCTGAACTGACCATCTAAACAATTGGAGAATATTTCTGAGAACATTCATATTTTTCCAGACCTGCTGGCCCAAAGCTTCTAGGATTTACTCCAGCCAATGGCCCCACTGAATAGTGGGATTTCTGTCACATGTCAGACAGCCAGGTTCCACTGTCACACATCACAGATCAGTCTGACCAGAAGGTCAAGAAGGAATGTTCTCATATCCATCCTTATATTGTATGTGAAGACACTGTCCATAAGACAGAGGGGAGGGTTTTGTGAAAAGTCTTTTGAGGCTCAACCCAGAGCAAATGATAACTCTGGTCTTATCATTTTCTTTATGTCTCGGGTGTGCGTTGGAAGCTTCTCTTACTGTTCTCCTGGTAATGTCCTGGCAGGGCCTGAGCCCCACAGTGAATGGTGAACTAGGTACCAGTTTGGTGGATGAGCACCAAGAGAACCTCTACAGTAGGTTGAGGTGCATTTCTGCCCTAGGACTCTTCCTTACTCAGTGTCACTGTCTCCTAAGAGGGACAGCCCACAAAGAAAGCTCTGTTTTAACAGAAAAATAGAAAGTGTCCCCGCTGTGTGTTTTCAGTCTTATCCTCTTGGATTTCTGACAAAACCTAGTCTTTGATTTAGCCTGTTCTGAGCCTCCGGAAAGATCAACATGACTCTTTTTAGAAGACTTTACCTTTGTTCCTGAAGGATCAATACTAGCCTGATGAGCAAGTAAGTGTTCAGAAGGTACTCAGAAGCTGGGGAGATAAGGCGATGTTGAAAAAGGAGAAAGGGATAAGGAGGGATGGAATGGATCTTGTCTGAATATAAAATTGGCATAAGGCAATGTCAGAGTGATATAAGATCAGCAAGAAGCACTCAGAAGTAAAATGCTAACACTAATATTCCTTAAGCCAATATTCTCTTGGACGTGGTCCAAAGGGAGAGAAGCCTGGCCAAACAGCATTCCTGTGAGTAGGACACACAACTGCCACAAGCAAGAGTTACAGATCCGCTTTAGGGAAAGTTATTGGTAGAATAAACCAGTGGTCTAAAACTGGATTTCTCAAGAAATAAACAGAAAGACTCATATGGAAATCACTGTATGCTAAATGAAAGGAATGGAAGCATTCTCAGTCCAAAGCAAATGGTAGAGAAGGTTTCTTGATCAGGAGGAGAAGCTCGGTTCCAAAAAGCAATTAAATAGAATTGGGTAAAAAGCAGGAAAGAAGGTAATCAGAAAGTGTCTCTTGGGCTTTTGGGAATAATTGGGTGAAGAGAAGACAGTGATGGGACATGGTGATCAGAGCAAGGACACACTGCTAGTCTGTCCCCACACTGGACTAATCTCCTGTGTGGATCTCAAAGATGGGGTCAATTCTGACAACCACAACTATTGTATAAAACGATGTCTGTTTCTTCATACCCCATCTTCCAACACATTATCTGACACATAGTATACACTCACTAAATGAATGAATTACCCTGTAAATTGATACTACGAGTCTGCAAAGCCAAAGAAATTTGTGAATTTCATGCTAGTTAAGACACTGAAATAACATTTTGAAAAAAGACAAGCAAACTATAATATGATTTGTAATACACTTCTAAGGTATAGAAGAAACTTGACCTCATTAAGCCTGTAACTAGGCAGCTGCCCAGCCAGAGAAATGAGGGGAGAGATCAATTCCATACAACACTCAAACTTTTAGAGCATAATTCTAAAGATTTTCCACCTTGCAAAATTTTCCAAACTACAAATCTCTTTCCTAGACAGCAGGCAAATACTATTTTCCAAGTGCCACACTGGTTGAGAATTTACATCCAAAGGAGCTCCAACAAAATTACTGGCAATGATATAATAAACGTGAGACTTTGGGCAACTGAGTTCATGGGAATTCAACTCACAGTGAACAAGCCAATCATTCTTTCTTTGCAATGGACTACTGGTCCATGCATGCTTGGGAAGATGCAGACCCACTGTGTCTTTAATAAACTCTTCTCGAGACTCTTGACATCTCTTTCATGAAACACGGCCCCCAAAATAAGAGAATAATTTGTAATTCACTCTCTTTTCCTCCTCTTTTCTTTTTATCATTATACTAAGAGGATTTTCACAGAACAACGCTAGGCTTCGTATTGTGTAGGGATGACTTATTCGACTACAGATGCCTTTGTCTATTGCTGTATCATATACATATGTGTTTGCACAGTTACTTTTACTCTCTACATGAGTAGAATCCATGCAAAGTAAATTACAGTAGTGACAGGCAAAAAAAAAAAAATGAATAAGTTGTAATTGAAAAAAAAACCTGCTCTTCCTAAAGATATTTTAAATAGGCATCTTATGAGATGAAAATGCCATGGAAGTGTTTGAGGGTTTGGGGTTAGTCCTTTCTGCAGCTGGGATGAGTTTCCCAGTTCTCTGCATGGGAAATTGGTAGAAATAACTGGCAGTCAGAAGGCCAATGCTGAAGCACACGTCTCATGTGGGATGTGAGCAGCAGCTGCATTCCTTCCACTGTATGAAGAGCTTTCCAATTTTCCCTTCTCACCAGTGAATATTTTACCAACCTGTTTTTCACCTTTCAAGTGTGTGACCTGGCTCCAGACTACTAATTTTTTTTTTTTTCTTTTTGGTAGGGGGATTGTTGTTCTTTTATTTTGTGGTTTTCTTTGCTTTGTTTTTTTGGTTGTTATTGTTGCTTTTGCTGCAGTCCACTTTTAAGAGAGAGAGGAGAGGCAAAATCTGTAGACATACCACAGTGATGCTTAAAAATGGATAATTTTTCTGTTTAGAGTTTACACCAAAGGAAAAAAAGAAAAAGATATATATATATATATATATATATATATATATATATATACTCTAGGTTCATCAAGCGTAGAGCTCTACCAAAAGTGAAATAAAAAGTCGCACTCCCACATGTTAATGCTTTCAGGTGGATCTGATGTAACTCTTTCAGGTGGAGTTGATGAAGTGAACAGGCGGCAGAAAGGAAATATTTTAAGTGATTCGCTAAGTGCCAAGAGTTGGGGTGGGGGTGTGTGTGACAGGGGTGAGCAGAGCTTTCTCAAGCTACTGAGCCTTGTTCTGTGTCTTCTGTACTACCCGAGTTGTTATTAGGAATGTAGCTATAGCCTAATTCCACCCAAGCTACACGGCCACCTGTGCTCCTCTGGCAGACAATTCCATCATGAAGCGCTAAGTCTATAAACCACAGGGCCACAGAGCCATTCTTCCCCATATCCCATCTTCCAGCTGCAGGCTTGATTTAAGCTGCTATTTTGAAGAAGGTACCCTTTGATCACATGAGCTTATGAAAACAAATTATGGAGGAAGAACAAACACTCAAAGGATATACTGTGATATTTTAGATAGGCAATCAATAGGTAATAAAAAGAAAATATCCCTAAGGGGTAGTACAAACTGAGATTGGTAGACCAGAGTGGAAGAGACCATTGTCTGGAAATGGAATTGTTCCATTCAATGGATAATCGCGAAGCAAGTTTAGTGCCCAAAGAAATACAGTTCCTCCCTAGCAAGCAGAAAGCTTGTGCGCTCCGTGTAATACAGGAAGTTGTTCAGCTGGGTATTAAGGGCACATAAATTACTTGCATCATGGCAAGAGAGACAGAAAAAGAAAAGAAATTGTAAAACTGAGTTCAAGGCCTAGAAGAGTTAAATTCACTATCCTAATTATGGTATTTATGATATATTATTATTTTCTTAGCAGCCTCATCCTTGTGGTCATATTTGCCATGTGAAATCCTTACAAAGAGTACACTTATTCCGTAAGGTATTGTCAGCTGTGACAGGAACAGTACTGAAACTCCTCAACTGTCAGTAATATCTGAATATGCAGAATCCCTTTGAGTACTGGGTTGTAGATGACTAATAATTTCCATATCAGTAGAATCCACTGTGTTCACCTGGCTTGCAAACAGATAAGCAAGGTGCTTCTAATTATAACTGTGTAATAATGGGTCATTTTGTGTACATTCTACATGAAGCCACAAACTGTTGCTTCCTTCAAAGGGATGAGCTGAGGCCTACATGTGCAGAGTGGCATGTCATTTGAATGCAACAACAGGTGTCTGAATTGTCTGGGGTGGATTAATCCCTCTAAAGTTGAATGAACAGAGCTCTTCACATCTACCACTGTCAAAGTGAACAATGGGAATCTTCCCTTCTTTATAGAATGTCCCAATACATTAATATTTAACATTTCTTAAATAAAAGCTCCCTGGGCTTCTCCTTGGCTTCCTGCCTTTGTTTAGCTAAGCTGGCATTCCATCGGCTCAAATCAATTTACCAAATATATTTTGAAGGTGCCGTGGAGAACAGTCTCTGCAGTCCCTCAAAAGCGCCTGCTCTATCAAATGTTTCCCTTTCAACCCATATTAGCTAAAGAAACTGGAACCCAATTGATGTTTTGACATTGTTAAATTTTCATCAGTGCAAAAAGTAAGAAATATGCTGATTTCCTCAAGTATCGTGCTTAAAGAAATAGCATATGCCAGGAGGACATGCAGTTCAAAATCCAACTGACAAACAATATGCATTAACCAAAGGCAGCATGGAAGGAACCATACATGATATAATATAAACTGTGTAAACGAACTGAATTCATTCTTTGGGGCTGAGAATGAACGATTGATTTCTGCTTCTAAGGTGCCTCTCTAAGGCAGCACCTCACAGACAAAAATTTGAGCCTCACTGAACGCCTAGAGTAACCTACTAGCAACTATGAACAGTTTGGCCTAGGGGGAATGTATCTGCCCGTGGAGGGGAAACACAGAGTCCAGGGGGCCTCAGGCAACATGTGATGCTGAGAAAAGGCCTCAGCGGCCAGCTGCCTGTGCCCACGGCTGGGGGAAGTGCTTTCAGAGCAAGCATCCTAAGTGTCCTCCAGCAGAAGCCAGTGGTTCTACCCCTCAACTCAATGAGCATCCTGCCCCGGGTCAAGAATGGACAGGACTGTTGGTCACACAGTCCACCATCTGCGCTGCCATCTTCACACCCACACTTTTGCAGTTTGCTTTTGAGGAGTCCCTCCTTCTTGGACAGATGCTAACAAGGAAACACTCTTTCTCACGGATGTGAGACTGCACATTACTGGCTGAGCTGGGAAAGACACAATTCCAAGCTAGACATCAATGGCCTAAAGTAGCAACAAAACATGAGAAAGGGGTTATTCGGAGAGAACCACCGCTATGTCTGGAATGCGGATGGAAAGGCACTGGATGTCGACAGATTGCAAGACTGGTGTAACTGGCATCGGACTGCAAGGCTCCTCGGTGTGCAAATTTCTCCAGCTGTTTTGTGGCACCTCGGGCGTGCGGCCACACCTGCGGCTGGAATACCGCTCTGCCTCTGGTTTTCCTCCGTGGAGGAGGAGCAGCTGCAGCTCCTGAGCACAAGTTGGTGAGACAGAGGGAAGAGCCAGAGGTACAGAGAAGGCCCGTGCTTCTAGAAGCCCACCTGCTTTGGTCGTCACTTTCAAGAGGTAGCCGTCCAGGTCGATGTGAAACTGCGGCGCGTGGCAGGGCAGCGCGACGCGCGAGCCGTTCCAGCGCACGGTCAGGTGCTGCTGGAGGCTGACGGTGCCGGCGCCCAGCACCAGGTCCACCGACTTGGTCCAGGAGAAGGAGCGGGTCCTGCGCGCATCGTTCTTCACCAGCACCTGAAAGGGCGAGGCAGGGGAGGAGCAGTCTTTTGTCAAAACGTACTGACACGTCCCCTGAAAGTTAAATGTCCGTCCGTCAAAAGTGTTGTAGTGGGGATCTCCGAATACTGTGCAAACGCCAGGCTCTGCGGATGAGTGAGAGACAAAAGCAGGTCATAAACCGAGTGAAGGATTCAAAGAGAAATCAGGGGTCCCTGCAATAAACCTGATAGGGGCACCTGCCAGGTAAAGGGAAGGCCTTAGCAGAGGTGCACTAAGGAAAATCAACTTAAAAGAAAATAAATAAAAAGTCTGGTTGTTCTAAAAGTTTGTACCAAACCTCACAGGACATGTAATACTTCTGGTGCTTTTATACTTAAAAGTTATTTACAACACTTCTGAATTCTTAAAGCATCTCTATTTTAGAGACTTGATATGCTTCTATGGTCTTAATGTCAAAGACAGAGAAATGAAACTAGGATAATTTTATAAACAGAACTGGCCTAATTTCATAACCCATATAAACAAGAACAAAAATATAAATAAAAGGCAGCAACATAAATGACAATACACCAAAGCATTAGTATGGTTTCCATTTAACTGATTCAAAAAATTTGGAAACATGGTATTCTCAGTGTTATTCACGGTCTTAGAGAAGTATTATATTCAACACTCATGTATTTCTAAGTACAGATAAATAGAACTGCCAAACAGATACACGTTTAATATTGTTAAGAACCAAACACAGATAAAGTTGATAGTCTCCGTGTATTTTCTAGAAATACAAGTCTCCTATATTTTGATCTGTGTATCAACATCTAAAGTTGGATAAAGAATCAATTGTAAAACCCATCATTCAGTAAGTTTAAGAAATTCCAATGAATTCATCACTTCAAAATACCACTAATTCAAATACTTATGAGACCCAAGTAAAGTTTTACACTTTAGGGCATTTCAAAGGTTTATACAGAAAACTAAATATCATTTCTTTTTTTACAACAAAATTTGGCATTGATTTGTTTTCTATATAAAGATATTTTATCTGTTTTTAAGAAGGCATAAACAACCAGGAAATGAGAAATTCATTTAGAGAAATTAGCCCACATGATGAAAGAACTAAAATAAAAAGATCGATTTCCAGAACAGGTCAAGAATATGAAACTATCCTATACAAATAATTGCTCTGAATACGTAACAGAAGAAGTAAGCATCAATACAGAGGAAGGATGTGCCAACTGATCTGACGGGACCAACTGGATCCAAGGCAAACATTTGCTTTTAATTTCTAAAATGTTTGGAGAGTAATGTTGTTTTATGATACATTATGTCATTTCATATGTCAATTTCACATGACTCCATATAAATCATACGTGTTGGGAATTTTGTAAATTAATTATTGTTCTAAGTTAGCTTTCCTTGTCAACATTTAATAGAGACTCACAGAACAGATTGTTTCTGGTATGTAGGAGAGTTTCAATGAGCAAATACTTCAAGGAATATAAAAAAGGCACTACTTGGGGGAGGAGGGTGGAAGAAAAGGGTGGGAGAGAAAGCTTTGAAAGTTCACCAGCAACAGTTTAATTCACCCGCCATTTCGATTCCTTTCTTATCCTTTTTTATGGTGTTCTTTCCTTGTGACTCCAGTTTTACTCAGTTTGTTGCTCCACACTGTACCCCACTCTCACCTTCTTAATCCTATATCCCCCCAACTAGCGTTCCCACCTATCTAACCACCCCATACTGCATTTTCCAGTCCTTTCTCCATGTGATTACTTCAAAATTGTCCTATCACACATTGCTCTCACAGTCTGACAAATGGAATCCTTCCCTGGGATGAAGATGGTGCTTTTTGGTTGACAGGGAGCAAGGCCGTTCTTTGGGACACCTCAGGTGGCATCAGGAGAATTATAATAGTTCAAAGTTAATGCTACCATGTGCCCCCAAAGAACTAAATGTTAACCTGACCGCCAGATGCACCAAATTCAAGAAAAGGGCTTTTTCAGAGTTTTAAATGCCACATACTTGTCAAGAAAACTCAGAACCAATCAATGCTTTTGAGCTCTTGAGCTTGAAATAGATGGACCTCAGCTGGCAAAGGCCAAGGCACAAGTGAAGGAGCTGCAATTATATTCCTGAGAAATCCTCTCTCAGTTGTGAGCAGGCACAGGGCATGCCTACACCTTCTGCCCGGAGTCTGTAGGGAACAACATACAGCTTCTCCAGGTGTTCTGACCCCAACTGCATCAAAATGACAACTAACAAAAACAGTAACAGCTAACGTTTACCAAGAATTCACTACATACCCTAGCACTATTCTTCATGCCAACTGATCATGGACACATTGTAAGAAAATGGATATTTAGATTGTCTCCTAACATTAAACAAACAGCTAAGCACTTGGTAGTAAATCCATAAAATGAACTATTATCTAGTCATTGAAAAAGTCTGTAAATAATGTTCATGATTGAAGAAATGCTTATGCCATATTAAGTGAAAAATAGGAAACAAAATTCTATCTATAGGATAATCTTGACTGTGCTAAAATAAATATCCAAACACACACATACCCCAAAATTGTAAACTGAGATTGTTTCTTGGTGGTAGAACCATGAGTGATAATTTTTTTTCTTCTGCCTTATGTTTCTGTTTTCATTTTTGTTGTCCCTGTATTTTGTTTTTAAGAGTCAAGATGTGGGTACATGTAGATAAGGTCAATTATGTGACAAACCAAATCCTCAAAGAAGCAACAGAAAATATACTGCCTATAGAATGGCCCTGGGGCCCTAGGGAAATCTGAGCTTACTCATAGCTGGGCAGGAAGCTGTGAGGGACATCCAGGGAGACCAGGCAAGGGAAATCATGTGTGAGCAGGGCTGTCAGGAAAGATATTTTTCAAGAGGCCATAACTTGTGGAAGAGAAGGGTCTGGAGATCAGGATGATTTTTCTGTATAAGGGCAATATAGAAGAAGCCAACAAAATTTCACGATGAGGAAGATGCCTGAGAATTATGTGTTTCATTTGGGACATTTTTATCACAAACTAATATAATTTTGAAACCTTGGCCCTTTTTCCTGGCACTTCAAGGTCCCCATGCCAGATCCTCGAGGTGTCCATGCAGGAGCAGCGAACACATGCACAGAGAATGACGGAAAGTGAGAATCTCAGGGTTAAAAAATCTGCCTCGCTGAAAAGGAAAAAAAACTATAGAAACACTTAGGGGACAAAAATGAACACTGTATCCTCATATAATTTTTGCTCAGCAGACCCAGTGAAATGAGTCACAGTCCAAGATGTTCTGATGTCTGGTCACACTCTTCTGGAAAGCCTGGAGTGGCAGTTAGAGCTAAATAAACAGACCCTTCCATAACTATCCTTGCCTGAATATGTTTAAGTCAGACGATGGAGAGAAAAAGCCAGTTTACAAGCAGTGGTATGTGCTTTCATAGTCTTTTAAGTCAAATTATCAGACGTCATTTTTGTTTTGGTTTGTTTTCAGTAATATGTATACAATGTCTAGGAACTGGAATAAAAAAGAGTAGAATATTAAGACTGTTTTTTTCTCTTAGGTAATGAAATTACGTGTGACATTTATTTTCCTCTTTCTTGTTTATGTGTATATACATTATTATTTACATTTACATTTTATTATTTATAATCACTATGTGTACTCTTGGAATAAGGACATTTGTTTTAAAAAAATAAAAATACTGGATTAAAACATATCTCTTTGATTTTACCTATTTTAATAAGACAGCTATGAGAATTAATAGAGTCGGGCTGCTTCTGAAAACAAAATTCCAATGTTTTTCTCTTAACCTCATCAGGTACATTTATTTCTCCCATGGGTATATTTACTCTAATAAGATGCCTTCCTTCTGAGAACAGTGATTATTCTCAAAACATCCATCAGCGAAAATTAAGGGAAAATTATACAACCTCATGTCATAAAAAAATAAGAGAAACTGAGAAGACTCTAACCCCCTTCCCTCAAAACACAACAAAACAAAAACAGAAAAGCATAAGAATAAAAAAAGTATCATTCACGGTTCCGCCAACAAGAAATAATCACTGTTTACCATTTTGGGGTGTGTGTGTATGTGTGTGTGTGTGTGTGTGTGTGTCTGTGTTTGTGTACATTTTAACATAGTTAAGATTATCCTGTACATGAAATTTTATTTCCTCTTCACTTACCGTAAGATTTCCCCAGTTACTAAAGTCACTTTGAAAACACAGAAAATGACTTTCATCCTCAGTCCATTATTCTCTGCAAAGAGAATACCACACTACTACACAGAACAGTACCTTTCCAGAGTAGTGTTCTAACCATGAGGAAGGTCTATCAAATGAAAAACATGGCTTTAAACTTTCCTCAACATAAACTGCAGTAAAACGGGCCCTGTGGGACTCCGGCGCCACTGGGTCATGCAGGGGCTCCTGGGAATCCCAGGTGGGTAAGAGCCATGATAATGCCAAGTTTGGGTCAAGAACCAGGAAAGGCTGGGGTTAGAAACGCTGCCCTGAACACAAGCCCTTATGCTGTTTGTCTAGGCTCCTCCTGACATGATGTAAGCCTCCAATATAAACAGGCTGTGTGTGATCCAGCAGGAACTGAACTTCCCCACACAGGAGGCTCTGGCCTCTCTCAGAGGTGTCCCTGACAGCTGCTGCCCCCAGGGGACCTCAAAGCCAACAGGAGCTCCACCAAGGGGCACCTGGATTCCTTTCAGATTTTACATCCTTGGCTTCTTAAATCAAAACTTAATCTGACTTTACTGTGTAAATGTGGGGTTAGGTCATAGCGGGTTTCTTTCCACCCATCCCTAATCCATGAGACAGACTTACAAATCTACAAATAAAAAGCTGATTTTTTTAAAAAGTTGAGTAGGCACCTGAAAGTAACATTTTAAAAAAAAAAAAAAGGTTTGGTAGGGATACTGTTAAGAATGTAAATTTCTTTTCATATAATTTCCATAACCTCATATCCTCACCAACTTCAAACAGAAGAGAACAGGGAGCATCTTTACCTTCGAGATCTAATTTGAACTAAATTTAAACGTAAAGCCGAGGCTGACATCCTATTACGGCCTCCCCAGCTAAGCCCAGGGCTTCCCCACCTCTCATCTTGGTTGGTGCAGTGGGCTGTGC